AGCTTGCAGTTTAGCACATTGGATGCTGACTTGAAGACTTACCATTGTCCAGCGTGCCCCACAATCATTTATGGTCAAGAACATTTTAACGAACACTGCTGTGCAGCACATGGTGCACAGTTTACTGTTCAGAGTGCAAATTTCGCTACAGAAGACGAATTTTACGTGAGTGTTCAGTACTTCATTCATTTCCAAGACTTGGTGAATAAGTACTTCAGCTTTGGAAGCGAAAGTTAGAACTTGAACACCATAGTTCATGGAAAGTTGGAGAGCGCCACAATTTCGGCACAATCCTGACCATACACTTCATTTGCGACAGGTATTGTATAAATGTGCTCATATCACTACACTAGCCCGTCTTTCATTGAATTGAGCCGAATTTCAGCATTAACGAACCCATTGTCAACGGGGATCCACAGCTCTGCACGTCCTTTATCAGAGTAGCAAATATTTTCTGTTTTACCACGTTTAGGAGTAAGACATGCCAGTTATAGGCAACCTTTTACAACGAAGTCGCAGCACGTTTCTGTGTTTTTCATTTCGGCCATCCTCGACAACATGAGCAACATGATGTCTCGACTAATCGTGTGAGTTTAGCATTTAAGAAGTTCGTTATTTTATTTGGAGCGAAGTTCTAGTTTTCCTGTTATGGTGCGATGATGCTTGTACAGTTTTGAAACTTCCATGTGTACTACCAACTGTAGTTCACATACGACTTATTTGTACCTCTGAGCTTTGAATTTGCAGAAATAGCGCAGTCTTCGAGCAAAGTCAGGAGTATATAGCGATGCTGTGGGAACAAAAGTTCATAGATAAATCGCGCGACGATATCGAGATACTCAGTTTTGGCAGTGTGATTTATGTTGGAGTGGTTCCTTACTTATAAGGCATACGCCATATCGATCCGCTTCATCCACTCCGCTGTTGGTCACTTCACTGACTTGACCAGTAGCAAAATGGTTGAAACGGATCAAGTATGGCGCGTGCCTAACGAGCTTCGAAATGCACTTTCTCTGAAGTTCATTTGTTCGCTGAAAGTATGTAAAAAAGGAAACTCTTCTTACCAGTCAATAAATTTTCTCCGGGATTCATTTGTTCGCCGAAAGTATGCAAACAGACAACTCATCTTACCAGTCTGGATAAACATCAAAATATAATCTTTCCTGTTCAGCGAGTCTACATCAAAGAAGAGCCGGGAACTCCTGTGCTCGAGTCAGCCTCTCCACAGACGATTTTCCGGAAGGAAACCAATGACACCTTATCTTCCGGCATTGAGGTTGTTCTCATGTCAAACCCATCTCGGACACAGGATGACTGGACAAAGATTTTGGATGCAGCTTTGGCAGATCCGTCACTTCCTGTACATTACAAAATGCTGATTCGGTGTTTGGTAGCTAGTAACAGGGACTTGAAAAATATTCTAGATATGATGAGATCTGGTAAACGGTAGTGAGATTTGCTGTCAGGTCGACTGATTCAAAATGATAAATTCTACGACTTATTATTTTTTTGGTGATTTCCTCACATTTTCTTGTATTTGCACGTTTTATACTAGTTTGAAGAAGCTTTCTTTGTTTCACGGTTTTTTTTCCATGACATGTTTTTGTCTTTTTCGTTGGTTTTTGCATGATTTCCGGTTAATAAAAAATTGTTCAACAAATGGAACAGTTGTCAAAATTCTCGGTTTTTCTACTCCTGGTACTTGTTTGCAAGAATCAAGATGATGAAATAAGAAACGCTACAGCAAACCCTAGTACAGGAGCGAGCCCGAAGTTGTCCTCCTACTTCTAGTTACATATACGGTTCCTGCTTATTTCTTTGCGTTTCATTATTTAGACCAGTTTATTCACACCACAGACATTGTTAAGAATGCTCAAATGTGAAGGCAAAGGAGTTAGAGGTTTACTGGACAAGCTTGGTGCAGAGATCAGTTACTACCGGTTTGGTTTCGTGAGTTCAGTTCTCCAGCTCTATAATTTGTAATCACGTAAGTCGTTTTAGATCCGTCAAAATAGTTGTAAAATGGTTGAGGCAGTTATACTTGATGATCTCTTGGTACATATTTCGGGGACCGAAGCTGACAGAGTTCTGACAGCTGCAATATCTTACTGTCAGCAGCGTGTCAGTGAATCTGTTTTCCGAGAGGGACTAAGGGCTATGTTCCCACAGCGTCTGTCCAGTGCACAGAAATTTATGAAGTGAGTTCCGATCTTTGTAAATCTTCCAAATCTGCCCGTACTTCAAACGCCGGAGTAAAAGAATGGCAGCAAACGTTATAAGTGTATGTAGATATCTATCATTCACCAACTGAACAGCAATAAGTCGATTTGCCGCTCGGGATGTTCAGAGTTGCCCGTACCAGCGCCGTTCCAACGCCGTGCCAGCGCCATGCTGAATCCCGCGTAGATGCTTTCGTTGATGATCGGGGTTCAGGCATGGCACTAACACGGCGCTGGCACACCACTGGCCACGAGCAACTGTGGATGTTGCCTTAATTTATTTAACATGCTTTCAAGCAGCTAAACATGCAAATTTTGCAATTAAGATGTGAAACACTTTTTGACTGCACACAACTACGATCATTGAATGTAAAAAAAA